AACTGCCAGACCCATAACCCCACTACCAGATCATGGAGGAACAGTACCGGAAATCATGGAGGGAGGTAGACAGCACCGAAGCAAAGAAAAACCAGAAGTGGAGATCAGTTACCGGCCTGCCCAGCACACACACAGACTGCCCAGAGCATGTTTTTCAGCTTTCAGACTGCATTTTCCAGATTTCAGCAATAGTTTCCAGATTTCCCAGATTTTCCAGATTTGTTCATAGCCTTGGCCTAGATTTGTTCATCTTTGTTCATATTTTCTCCTTCAAATTCCAATTTAGATTAAGTTTTAAGCATTTGGAAGCAACTTAGCCTTCAAAACAGGTCTGCCCTTTTGATTCGGTTAGTTCTTCTTCCTTTTATGGATTTAATTATGTTGTTTGTTCATGTAAATAGGTTGAACATGTTCTACCTTTGTTCTTTGGTTTCTGCACAATATCCAAACATGCAGTTTGTTTAATTTCAATTTCCAGACTTAAATTCACAAGTTTTCAGACTTTAATCATTTCATAGTTTCTTCTTCAATTTTAGTTATCATTATGGGCTACGTAGTTGAAATCATTGTCTGTTATTTTACTTTTTCTGTTGTCTGCGAATTTAATCTTTATGGCATGTTATTTTCTGTTATTTACTTTATATTAGTTTAATTGCCTTAGTATATTGCATTTATTTTAGGATTTGTAGCTTTTATTACACTTGTTTGGTTGTGAAGTCCTTGGAGATTTCCAAGGCAATTAGTAATCCATTTTGCAGAACTCTACCCTCTGTTTTGCAACATCTTCTGGGGCGCAATTCATTTCACAGACGTTCTTTTCAACCATCCTATAGGAGGTCGACCGCTGGAAAGGAGAAGGGTCGTCTGGAAAATCATATTTTCTTGTTTTTAGACAAAGCAAGTGGCACGCCTAACATCCAACTCACGTGGTAAAGGCCGGCTGAGGATTTTTGAGGAAACAATCCTTTGTTGGCACGCCCAGTGGGACAACCAGCAGGATGTATCAATTACAGTTCACAAATCCTCTGTTCGTACATTCAGAGGCGTCTGGAGCCATGCCACTGAGAAAGAGCAAAGATAAAGAGGGTCAACCAGCCCAGGCTGAACATGCAGATGACAGTCCACTCCACTCTGAGGGTGAAAATGATCTCATCACTTTTCTCCCAGTGTCACCTCTGGCAGAACGGTCCTATGGGAATCTAGTATTTAAGGAGAACGAAGCAGACCGTGGGGGTGACTTTGCTGAATCAAGTAATGTGTTTAGAGGTATGCCTGAACGTCTGGAGTTAGCATTCAAAGAAAAGAACCAGGCTATGCGGAGACTTGTTGAGAGTCAAGCAGAATTTTCCAGACGTCAGGAAGAGACAATTAGACAATGTATGTCTGAACTGAGACGGATTTTTGAAAAAGGCACTAACGTGATGCGTGAAACTGGAGATGAGAGTCGCAGAACACTGAAGGCTGTTTCAGAACAAGTAGTTGAGCAAGTGCGACAGCCCAGACCTGAGATTCCTTCTCCAGTCGTTGAAATGCCCAGACAGATTCAGGAAGCCCCAATCCCAGCACTCGGGGGGCAAGGGAGTCATCCTCATCCTAACATTCAACAGTAGTATTTTGTCATTGGTGAAGGGCAAAGACAACACCAATTGATGGAGGCTGCTACTCCTGTTGCAGACCATGGCCATCAACCTCAGCATAAGTATATTCTGCCAGCTAGGAAGGGAAATGTGAGTCCTCATCATCAACCTTGTCCAAGGGACTTTTTCCAGCCACAAGTTCCTCCAACCCAGCTGGTACAGCGTGGTCTACAGAATCAACCAGCTCAATTCTTCAATAGAGACCATGGGCCTGCCTTGAGGTCATTGGAAAAGATTGATAAGGGTATCTTGAAATTTCCAGACAAAGCGAAGGAAACCATGGGAGTAGATGCAGATCCTTTTCTAGCTATGTTTGTCGGTGTAAATGTTGCAGACCTCAGGAGTGTTGCTAGAAATCGCAGTCTGCCTTATGCTCAAAGGAACCTTGCTGCAGAAGACTTGAGGTGGGTTATTGAGGCACAAAGATCCAGACATAGCAGGAGCGTCAGGTCAGACCAGCAGAGGCTCAGGGGGCAAGGAAGGATCATTGTGACAAGGAATTTCAGCCCAGAGGGTGCCAGACGTTATTCAACTGGTACTAGATCTGTAAGGATGGTCAAACCGCCACTCAGGTCACCTTCCAGACGGTGGGAGAAAGTCAATCATCCCAAGTTTCCAGCCCAGAATCCCAGAACCTTGAGGCGCAGACTGTAGCGCAAGAGGGCTGAAGAGCGAAAAAGGCAACAGAAGCAGGTGGAGGCTGAGGGAAGTTCATCTCGCAGACCACGCCAACCTACAAAAAGGAACATGGTGTGGGTGAGAAAAGAGAAAAAGGAGGCTGTAATCCAGAATCTGCTGAAAGGGAATGACCAATCTCCAGCTTCTCCAAAGGTGGCGTCTGTCATTGTGAGTCCAGACGGAGTTTTGAAAGCAACTTTTGAAGCACAAGAACAGTCTGGGAATCGTGGATCTGAATCAAAAGAAGATGG